TAGCCCCGGCTACCCGTAATTACGATCTAGTTACCGCAGCAACTAATGATAACGAGTCAATATCAATCGCACACGGCGCTCTCGTTTTTCACAAGGCCGTGCGCAGAAATAGATTCCACGATACCGCGAATAGATTCCCGTGATATCGTGCAAGCTCCTAGGAAAAGTGCCACCGGCGAGACTCTTGTTTACGCGGCCGTTGAACTCGCAATTATGTACTTACGTTAACTCTTGTAGATCTCACATTTTTTTCTCTGTTCTTAGTCACAATGTGGATCACAATGTTGTCTCGTTGCGATGCTAGTTGTATCAAAATGCTTCAAAAAATTACAAAAATTTATACGTATACAGGGTGTTTCATAAATGGTGGGCAAAATTTCAGGAATGGATTCCTCATGCTTACATAGAAAAAAAATTAAGTGTCAAATCAAAATTTATATACTTAAACTAACGCGTTCATTGTTTCATATATACGTAACAATTTATAATCTTCTTAGAAGAATTTAATAATTTCAAATTTCAACAATATTATCGTTCAATTTTAATATTGTAATTGTCACCTCAAGAATATATAATTATTTAATTCTACTTTAAGAAAATTATAATCTTTGATTTAAAAATGTTATTTTCTATCTAACATTGTTTCTTTTCCATTCGAGAAAATTAAATCTTAAATCATAAGAATATATTTTTCTCGATTGAACTATATAAAATGGCTTAAAGCAAGCAATTATTCAAGCAATTATATTTTTCTTTAATTAACGCAATATAATCTTATTTCAAGATTTTCATGTTAAAACTAAATATATTTTCAAAACAAGAATGTCTTTTTTTTCTGTAGAGAAGAAAAAAAGTTTTACAGGCATCAACAGTGTTTTTCAAGTTCGGCGGCCTGGAAAACATTGTTGATGCCTGTAAAAGGACTTCTAAGACGAGAAATGAGAAAATTTTGTATTACAAAAATCTTAATAACTCAAAAACTAATCATTTTCGGATCTATGTTGATTAACTTTTTCTTTCTTCTCTAAGCATGAGGAATCCATTCTTGAAATTTTGCCCACCATTTATGAAACACCCTGTATACTCCTTGACGCATATACTCTTCTTTCTCTGTAGAAAATGATCACGATAAAAGTTGGAAAAATAAAATTTAAACATTTTTCTATTGATTAGGAAATATTTTCTTATTAAAATATTGGTCAAATGACTCGTATCATCGCGATCTTTAAGAGTTAAGAATTGTTGGTACGCCATACGTATACGAACATGTACACTGTCCATACAAATAACAGAGATATATGTGGTAGCAAACGAAAGTGTTATATCGTGTCGATAATTTTTAAAGAGATTCGAATAATACAGCGGAAAGGAGAGGTTGCAAAGATCCACCACGTGCGGACTTCATCTTGTGCGATTTGCTCCGCGATGTAGATAAGTAGATATCGCGTACACGAATTTCATGCAACCGCGCGAGAACGATTAAGCGCGTGAGGATCGGCATTAAAAAGGACGTATGTAGAAAATTACGACTTGTCGTAAGGAAACTATCCTCGCGCGCGATACCTGTCTCCCATGGCACGTGTGTTTAATCTTCTTTATTACGAGACTCGGCGTCTCGTCTGAGATCATCTTACTATATCATCTCTCCCGTGTCTCATGCTTGTATTTCTCTTAATCGTTTTTCATACTTCACCGCGGTATCCTTCAATCGCATTTGCATTTCTACATCTCTTCTATGTCAATATTGATACAATCTTCGTTGGGATACCGCGTCGTAAAATTTAAATCGTTACATGTCAAAATCTCTTTTTCTTTTTTTTTATTACATCCCGCTAACTCGTTAAGCGCGAAACATACCAACGCTTTCCGTAAACGGAGACCATTCGGTGAATTCGCAGATTTATTTCGACTCGGACTACGTAATCGGCAAACCGCATGGAAAAGCCGGGAAAGATGGGGCGTTCGTTCGACGATGAGGAAAGATTTGATATTAGATTCGCATTTAAGCTGCGCTCATTAGATGCGGCATACGCAATGTGCGTGTCTCCTCCTTGTGATTTCGCCTCGACACACGCATACGGCACGCTGAGACATCGACGCAATTTCTTTGAATAAGTCTGCAATATATTAAAATTTCAAATCACAAATAGTTTACGAATTTTAATTTTTTCTCTTAACTTTACACAGAGAAAAATATAATTCTACTGCCAAGAAAAGCGATTACTCAGTTTATTTTTCTTTTTTTAAGTAATAGTTTTCTTCAACAAAGAATATATTCTTGATAATAGTCTTAAAATATACTCGTCACAAGTGTTAGAAAATCTCATTATCATACGTACTCAAACGAAGAATTTATTTTCTCTTTAAGAATATTGTAAAGTTGTATCAAAGAGAAATCAAACTTATTTTACGTCAACTCTTGTAGTAAGCAAACCAAATTTTTGTTTTAATTTAATATTCTTGACTAAAATACTGCACTTACTAAAATTCAGAATATATTCAATTAAATTTAATGCTTGTGGTGAACTTATGATATATTTGCGGATATACAAACTTATAATATACTTAAAATAAACAATATTTACTTGAATATAGTATACATTTTTCTCTGTGTAGGACGTTATGTAAATGTATCAATTAATTTTAATTTTAAATTTATTAAGTTTTTTGTGATTTATTTATTCCCGCGTATTTATATTTATATTTATATTTATCATTTATATTTATCATGATGAAGTATAGATAGAGATGCAAAAAATTTTGATTCAATTTTCGCTGACCGAGGTCGGTGCAACGAGTCTTTACGTCACGACTCACGCCGTACGCACTCGCGTGTCACGGTCGTGCACGTCTTCGCATCTTCGTTTTCCCTTAGGAGATTCTTCACGAAGCGTGTTTCTGCAATAATGAAAAACACATTTTTCGTGCCATCTAATGGTTTCTCCGCGTACAGTGAACGGTTATTACGAGTAATATTAGCGTCATCGTCCTCGTCATCGTCATCGATTCGCCAATTTCGTGAAAATCGCAGGTAAATTGATTGTTTTTTATTTTTAATACGCATACGCCATAATCACGCGTAATTCGATACGTAAGGCGAACGCGCAGGCAAGTGAATCTTTTAATCGTGCATGCACGATAAATTCCATTGTCTTGCTATATTACACTACGATGATATATACGCATCTTTGATCATGGCTTTACGATGTATTTTAAAATGCAGGTTTTCGCTTTGCTTTCGATTATCCGTCAAGTTTTCAACATTTTGCATTTTAACCGCTAAATATCATTATTTCCAGGTGACGCAACTCCATTTTTTTTAAATGGAGAGGAAAGTGTTATTTAATTCATATTTCCTGATAAATTTCGAGATAATTTTTTTTACGAAAATTAATTTTTCCAACCCACTTAATTTAATTATCCTTGAATTTTGGACAGAAATCTGTACGGGAATCTGTACAGGAACAAATATAAAAAATAGCGAATCTATCTGGCATTTTTTTAAGTGATAAAGAGAAAAAAATAAATTCTACAGGAATATTATCACAATTTTATAGGATGGCTTAAAATATAGTTTCAAAATAAAAACATACAAGTTTTCCGTCCCGCAAAATGTAAAATATATTTTTTATAGCAAAAAGATCTATGTAATTGAGAATTTATAGAATATATTTTTTACTACTCTAGAACACTGAATTAGAATTGAATCAATTTTCAATTCAATTACGGTTTATATTTGAAATTCGAAATTTTGATATTTTTTTCATATTCCTCTCTGTAGAATCGAGGGAGAGAGAACTGGATTTTTGCAACATATTTTTTTCATTCTATAAAAACTTGATATTTCCAAATTGAATCAAAAATGTCATTTCGAAAGCTTGATTTTTTAACTCTTCACAGTATTTTTTAGAGTAAATTAAATATCTTCATCATATTTTTTTGTAGAATCCGATAAGGATACCGATAACGGTTTACAGAGTTAGCGAAATATCGAATCGCCGCGTTTCGCGAATGCTTAGCTGAGACTGTACCCGTATTACAGCCAGCACTCTTCCATGCCCAGACATAACCTCTGTAACCAGCATAAACATCATGACCATCATGACCACCGGTATCGATATTAGTCCGCGGTATCCTGGACGCCGCGCGCGCGCGATCTCATATTATATAACACATAGACGCGTTCGCTCGCTCGCGCGGGGCAGGGCAGGTTACACCAAAGTGGCGTATCATGAGCAGGTGTAGCCCCCGGGACGTATCATCAGGGGCTATCTGTAAAAGAACTTTTGATCGACGAGCATGGCTAAACCTTTAGCCCCGCGGGCCATACAGACCGCGTGTACGCGCGCGATTAAATTATGCTCGCTCGCGCGCGCGCGTGCACTCGCGAAATCAGTTTCCGCCCTTTATTCCTGGGCTATCTCCGGTCCTTTTTCCCTCTTGGTTAGAGCAAACGGTGCGGACGTTCGCAAATTGGCGCAAAGTATAGAGCACGAGCTCGGCATTCTTTCGTCGATATCGAAATTTCGCGAATGTGGAAGATACATTGAGCTGCCATGGTTCGTGTAACTCTCCATTAAACAAACTTGCTCTTTTGCTAGAACAATATTTTCTTTGATGCCAGTTAATTGCAAACTGTAAAGTAATCTTAGCTTATTTATTTGCTTTTGCAATATATATAATGGAGCTTAGTTGATACAAATTTTAATTAATGCATTAATGTAAAGACTATTTTTTTGCGTCATTGTAATCGATATTCATATTGACACTTGAATGAATGACATCATTAATGTTCTACAAACAATAAATTGAGCTTAAGATTGTCGTTCGACTTTACAAGAAGGATATGCAAAAGAGAAAGAGAGAAAAGGAAAAAAAATGTAAAAGAATCCCACCGAGCGACACTCCTACGCAACAATGTGGACAAGTTAGGATTCACGTAGCATATCACACCTACCGATGAGATAACGCTAGTAAGGCGCTATTTTACGTACGAATACCTGCACTTAGAGCTGATACGGGTTCGAGCAACACCCACGCGGCACAGTCGCCGATCCTTATGCAGCAACATTATCCTGTTCCTCCTCTCCATCTCTTTTCTCCGCGGTCTTGGAACCTGTATGCGCGAATCTTTAAAAATTCGTTATCCTTTGCGGAGAGAATTCTCGAGTTCTATTTCCGTTTTCGTACATTGATTTCGTGCACTGAGAAAAAAATCTGGCATTAATTAGAATTCTGGTAGATTCACCCAGTATGTCTGGAAAATACACGAACCAGAATTCTTGTAGGAATTACCAGGTGAATCTGATTAATTTCTTCCTGTTAAATTTATCAAATTTTCTGGTAATAATACTAAATAATAATACTAATTAATACTAATTAATAATACTAAACTCGCCAGCACCAAGTCGTCTAAAATTTTTTCCATCTAATCTCCAAAGTTTGTTTAATATTCTGAATTCCAACAAGACTATTGGATAAATTCAATCCAGATTATTGAATAAATTATTTTAAATTCAGTTTGTTAGAAATTAAACTAATAAACAGATGCAAAAAGAGGATACAGCTCAAACACACGCAATCAGAGAGCTAGCGTCCTCTTTCTGGCATTACTGCTCGTAAGAGAAAAAAATATACTTTGGATTTAACGTTAATACTAGTTCTTTATATACATTTTATGGCAAATATTGAATACGAGTTAAATTAAGAGTGCCAAGCAAAGAAATTAATGTAACAAGAAATTTTATAGATCCAACCAGAAAATACTAACCTTATAGTAGTAAATCCTTATAATAAAATCCTTATAGTAAAATCTATTAAACGTTCTACTTATAAAAAATCGAGTCTTATCATGATAACTAGAAATTCCTGTTTGATTTAAACAAAATGCCTTCAATCATATATTTGTTGGTACAATCAAACGATTTTTCTCAGTGTGTGAAATGATGTTTGCGAAATGATATACAATCGTGATCAGAGTATAATCGACAACAGATCATTGGTCTCTTCCTCTTCATAAGAAATCTTCAAGATTCGCCGATTTGCCAAGAAATAAGGTAGTAAAAAACTCGGATCGTTCTTGCATCCATATCCGCAATCATCCTTTCCGCATCTTCGGTTAATTAAGACTCATCGTGACGGAATCAACGTAACGGATGAATCTATTAAACCATACGACTCAAAGTAACGCTCGTTTAAAACATTTATTACAAACGACGCGGTCTAATCATCTCAGGTTTATCCCAGAGTTTAATCATTCCAGTTAACACAGCCCTGGCTGGAAATCGCTTTGCAAAAAGATCGAATTCCGATAACCGCGAGTCAATAGTACACCCGGTAGACAACGCCAGGCAGAGAACTCCAAGTATAACTGTTTGATAGATATATACACGCATACTGCATGTGGCAGCGAATCGCGAGGACGACGGCAATGACCCAGGAGCGGCCTTGCGTTTCTTTCATCTTTCCGCCTTCTCCGAACCATGTTCGATTAGAAGGTACAGTCGGATGTAGTCATGCGAAATAATTTCAAGAATTAAATGTAATGAACTCGTAGGACGATTAATCGCTAATTTTTTGAGAATCGCTTACGTGGTCTTTCCATTTATCTCCGTTCTGAAATAGAAAAAAGAATATTTTATATATAAGATACATATATTTATATATATTGAAGGAAGAGAGGGGGAGAGAGTAATTTTAAAATTTTTATAAATAAAATAAAATATACAACTTTTTTCTATTTAATCATTTTACACATTTTTTTATTTCTTAATTTTTATATGCGGGACACACATCTCTCTCATTCATTACAAATAATAATAATTAATGTTAATGAATTTCTTTTAAACGATTTTAGAAAATATTTTTTAAATATATTTGGAGAAAATATCTTCCCTTATATAAATTAATGTACATTTTTCAGAAGTGGCGGCATTTTATCGCTAGGTCCGATGAGGTTGTCAGTCATATCGATTACCCGTCAGGAATAACTGCCGGAAATATCGTATGCAGTACATCGCAAGGTTATAATCTCCTCGCGTTTAGGATACACGCTCTTTTAAATTAGGTTCTATTAGGCTGTTACGTTAATTTGCGGCCGCTCATTTTCTCTATAAAGACTTTTCAGCGTACGTTTAATTTGTCGATGAGTACGTCTACGGATACGTCTTTAGTTAACGACTCGTATCGATTGTCGATGAAAGTAACTTCGTCGACGAAGGTCACTCGAGAACCGGAAGAGACGAGTCTCGTCGGCGCTCGATTAAACGTTTATAGTTGATATTACGTTTATTGGCCTGCGCGAGGGCGATTAAGTTGATTCATATAAAATCAGTCCCTTAGAGAAAGAGAGAGAAAGAATGAGTGAATTATTCTTGAGTGAGTGTTCCATTAGTGGCACGAAACTGTATTCCTGTGCTGCAGGTTCATCGACAGTTCGATTACTCTTGAAAGTTTTCCGCAGCAGTGTAACTAGAAATTTCTGGTTTTGCAGAACTTGCTCTAATATGACTCCTCCTATCTTTTTATATAAAATAAAATTATATAAAATATTTTTAAATTTTAACTTTTTATTTTTAAATTTTAATTTTCTCCCCGGATTTATTGTGTTCTTATTTCTATCTCTTAATACACAGCTATCGTAATGTACTATATTTCAAATAAAATGTAGAGGAACGAAAACGTTTTTGTATAGGTAACCTGGGAATGAAAAAAAGCGAGAGCATAAATTGTGTTTCGCGTGGTAATTGCGATTCGCCGTGGGCGGTGCATTCTGGTTTTACGTCATATTGTGAATTATAATTTAATGAAGACGGCCGTTATACAACTACAGTGGCAGTAGTTTTCTCAAAGAAGCGGCTAAATAAACCTTTGCGCCTCTAGGTCGCCGGGTCAAGCAGATACTCGTCTCGATTTATGGCTCACATAATAATCTACTGTGACAGATCATATGACTAGATAATAACGACTCTGACCGGAATGATCGCCGTACTTATATAGATGTTTTTACGTACATACAGTTTGCTTACAATTACGTTTGGCTGAGAAAACGGGATATTCATTCCGGCGAGATTTATACATGAAATATCACGCGCTTGTTCGATAATGAATTTAGTCATTCTTAATTTCTAATTACCGGGAACTTTATTTTGTACGTTAGTTACTTGGAGAAATCGCTTGACCGGTAGTTTTCGACGAATTAAGTGACTAATTAGAAAGTAGCGTTGCAACGCATTGTTAGTGAAGGTTTTTGACCGGCATAATGTTGAAATACTATGGCAATTAAATCGCTTTCTCTCTTCCAGTCTATAAAATTAGATATATATTTCTTAATTTTTAATCTGAGTCATTTTCGAATGCTATTTCGCTTCGGGAAAAATATACAATGGCTATATTCGATCCAGGACACGTCCCTTGATATACTTTCCCATATGCTCGACATGATGAGAAAATTTTGCGCGATTAAATTTATGCGTCACATTGGTATTCGGGACAAGTATCAACTGTGCACTGAGAAAAAAATCTGGTTGCATTAATTAAAATTCTGGTAGATTCACCCAATATGTCTGTTGGAAAATGGACGAACTAGAATTCTTGTAGGAATTACCAGATGAAATCTGATTAATTTTTTCCTGTTAAATTTACCAAATTTTCTGGTTAATAATACTAAACTCGCCAGCACCAAGTTGTCTAAAATTTTTTCCATCTAATCTCCAAAATTTGTTTAATATTTTAAATCCCAACAAGATTATTGGATAAATTCAATGCAGATTATTGAATAAATTATTTTAAATTCAGTTTGTTAGAAATTAAACTGATAACAGTGATGCAAGAAGAAGATGCAGCTCAAACATACACAATCAGAGAACTAGCGTTCTCTTTCTGGCACTACTGCTCGTAAGAGAAAAAAAATATACTTTGGATTTAACGTTAATATTAATTCTTTATATACATTTTATGGCAAATATTGAATACGAGTTAAATTAAGAGTGGCAAGCAAAGAAATTAATGGAAGAAGTTTTAATGCAAGAAATTTTATAGATCCAACCAGAAAATACTAACCAAATCCTTATAGTAAAATCTATTAAACGTTCTAGTTATAAAAAATCGAGTCTTATCATAACTCTTGTTATCGAAACTCTTGTTATCGAAACTCTTGTTATCGAAACTCTTGTTATCTATCTATCGAAATTCTTGTTTGATTTAATCAAAATGTCTTCAATCATATACGTTCTGTTGGTACAATCAAACGATTTTTCTCAATGTGCTATTAAAAACGATTGCAAATGTCGCGGGGTCCGCTTCGTTTCGGCTTCGAAACGAGCCTATTCGAGCGCGACCCACTCGCTTTCATTCATCCGCGTCCTTGCGCCACTTCTCTTTCCCGTAGGGGGAAATCGTCGCAATTGCACATGGACGATGATCGATATCGAGGGACTTAGGGGGACCTATCGCTGCGGTCTCGAAGGTAACGAGACGTGAAGCGATACACGTCGCGAGACTACGTCGGAGATAAAAATATTTCTTGTATCACGATGACGACACGACGGCCAACTCAGGGTGCGTAAGTGCGTCGTAAACGAGCCCGACTGACGTGCTCGAGCAACGCAGATTGGAATTGATCGATCAAAATTCACGCGCGAACCGTCAAGTGAGTAATTCGCGCCGCGGGGTCGTTGAAATCTTCAACCCCGTATCGCTTAATGGACTAGCCGTTGCTGTCGGTGTCATCGTGTGGTAATCGTTCTCGTCGTTTAGAGAGCGTAGGCGTGATCCCTTTCCTCTCTCTCTCTCTCTCTTTCTTTTTCAGGTCGACGAACAATGACAGATTGTTGGCAGTTCATTCGCGTGATGCGAGTTCGCACGATAAAGTGCGTACCGCGTGATCCGCTCTCGGCCATCGAATAAGATCGTTTACACTCGCATGACGTTAACCGTTGCCGAATTTAAGCGTGATGTAAGCGGATCTCCTCGAAGGATCGTGGGTTGAGAAGGTCGCGTTTCGGAAGGATGGAAGCCGATTAGCGTGATTTAAGCGCGACGAGATCATTACGTAAATATACATGCAAATGACTCGAATTACGTCATTGTAAATTATTTTCGGTTCGCTACGACTCTGAGCGCGCGCTATCTTCTCGAAAAAAGAATTGCCTCAAGATCACGTACCGTATGCCGGAACACGATCCGCTATTGTGCCTGTCAATTTTATTCGCCATAAACTGTTACTTTACAATCTCGCCAAGTATCGATTCGATATTATCGCGTGTCACACGGCAATATATTCTTAGATTGTAT